AAAAAAAAAAAAAAAAAAAAAATTGAAAATTGGTAAAATTTATATCTTAGGATTATTAAAATATATTCGTATTAATTAAAACCAAAGTATATAACATAAAATATGTTCATACATTTTTTTATTTTAAAAAATAATTTATATATATATATATATATATAAATGTTAGTACGTACTAATTGTACTTTTGTAATTTTCTCTAAATTTTTAATATTTATCGGAAAATAAAAAAAAAAAAAAAAAAAAGAAAACAAATAATTCTAAAACAATCAAATTTTCTAAGTGAATTCTTCTTTTTTTTTTTTTTTTTCGTTTTCTACACACAACGGATAAAAACAATAGTTTAGTGAATTATGCACACATCTCATACTTCAATTTCTTTTTACTTTTTTTTTATTATAGTTTTCTTTTTATATAATATTTTATTATTACTTTATATATAATTATTATATTTTTTTAATTTTTAATATTATTTTTTAAATATTTTATTTTTTCTCCGTAATCTTATTTTTTAAAGTATTTATATAAATTTTTAATATTTATACAAAAATAGAATAGTAAATAAATGGGAATAATCTAATTTTAAGTTACAAAATATATTTAAAATAAGTTAAATAATTACTAATTTTACATACATTATAATTAATCTTGAATTCTTTATAAAATATTTATTCTTAAATTATGTTAATGTAATTTTATTTTATTTTGTTTTTTTTTTTTTTCTCCAATAGAAGAATTTAAAACAAAAGGAAAATTAAAATGAATTAGAAGCAACATAATAATAGTTCTTTTATTAAAAAAAAAAAAAAAATAATAACTTAAACTGATTTTTTTCCAACTAAAAATATTAAATAAATCATTTAATTGTAAGAAATTTTATATATATATATATATATTTCTTTTTTATTAATCTTAAAATGAAAGTGAAATAGAAGAAAATTCTCATTTAAATGACTGATTTTTACATAATCAAAATTATATTTAAAATTATTTTATTGCAGCTTTAATTTTATTTTCACTTTAACTATAATAATGTAATTAAATAAAAAATTAAGGAATCTATATGTATTAAAGAGAGGATTTTGTCTTATAGAAATTCATTGAAAAAAAAAAAAAATATTCTAAAATAACATTTCTTATCTTCTATATTTATTTATTCTAAATAACATATAAAAATATATATATATACAACTCATATTCTTTTTATTCAGTCTTAGATGTCGTATTATTTTAAAACGTGATTATTTATTTTTTTTTTATATAGACATAATATTTTAACTAGTAGTTTATTAAAAAACATAAATATTTATTTTATATTCTTGAAGTTAGATAAAGGTTAATTAGCTTATAAAAAATATAAAATGAAATGATCACATAATTTTTATATTTTTTTTTAAAACAATTAAAGATTATTAGATTTTTAATTGTTCATTATATAACACAAAAAAGAAAAAAAAAAAAAAAAAAAAAAAAAGAAATTAAAATTTTATTCCTTAATTTTTTTATTTTAGTAAATATTTCTATATTTATATCTAAATCAATATTTCCTTTTTTTTTTTTTTTCTATACAATTATGTAATTAATGTTTAATTTCTTTTCATTATATATATATTTAATGATTTAAAATTTGTTTTAATATCTTTTTTAATTTTAATTTTTTTATACTTTATTTTTATATCAAATACAGTATAAAATTTAACTTGTTAATGCATTAATTTTTTTCTTTAATAAAAATTGAATTTTTTTAAATAACATATTAAAATATTTTTGTTAAAAAAATTTAAATAATATATTTAAATATGGATAGTTCTTTGTTATATATATATAAATATATTATTATTTTTATTTAAAAAAAATGAAAGATCTGCCAATTTTGAAATATAAAGATGAAATTAAAAAACTATTAAAAGAAAATAATTTAATAATAATAAAAGGAGAAACAGGTTGTGGAAAAACAACCCAAGTTCCCCAAATAATAAACGATATATATTTTAATAAAAAGAAAAATGATAATAAAAAAGATAAAAGAAAAATATTAATTTCTCTACCAAGAAAAGTAGCAACTATAACTGTTGCTGAAAGAGTAGCAAAAGAAATGAATAGAGGTGAAGTTGGAAGTTATGTTGGATATTCTATAAGATTTAAAAATGTGTGTTCAAAAGATACGAGAATAAAGTTTGTTACTGATGGAATATTAATTAGAGAAATTATGAATAATCCCTTATTAAAGAAATATAAATTTTTAATTTTAGATGAGATACATGAAAGATCTATTAGAACTGATGTTTTATTAGGTTACACAAAATTTTTGTTAGAAAAAAGAACAAATTTAAAAATTATTCTTATGTCTGCTACTTTTGATATAAATACATTTAATCGATTTTTTAATGATCCCCCTATCATTTCTATTCCACATAAGCTTCATAAAATTACTATTTTTTATCCAAAGAAAACAATAGAAGACTATCTTCTTTCTATTGTTAGTACTGTTCTGCAAATCCATTTTGGTAATTCTTATATAAAAAGTGAAGGAAATACATATTATTCTTCTTATGAAAATAACGATAATGAAATATTCAATATTGAGTTAAATAATAAAGAAATAGAAGAGGAACAAAATGATGATACTATAAATAATATAGATGTAAATAATATGGAAAATAAAAATGAGAATACTTTTAATATAGAGAAAAAAAAAAAAAGAAATAATTTAGGAGATATTTTAGTTTTTCTACCAGGACAGGAAGAAATTGAAATGGTAAATATAATGTTAAAAGAAAAATTAAAAATAATTTATAAAGGAAGTTTGTTAAGCAAATTAATTAGTGATGAAAATAAAAATGAGGAGAAGTTCATAAATAAAATGAATACCACATTTAATTCTGATAATCAAATTATTAATGATATATGTTTTCATTTTGGTAAAACAGAAATAATCCCAGACAAAATATACACCATGAAAATTTTACAATTGTATTCATCACTTCCTACTAAAAAGCAGAGGAAAATATTTGAACCTGTTCCACCTAATACTAGAAAAGTAAAAAAATAAAAAATAAAACAAAATAAAGATAAAAATAAAATATCAAAAATACAATTTTATGATTCTTATTTAAACATTCTTATGTATATTCATATCATTTTTTTTTTTTTTTTTAATAGTCTTATATGCTGTTTATAAATTATTTTTTAAAAAAAAAATATATTTTATTTTCATATATATATATATATTCTTAAATATTTCAGGTTATCTTAAGTACAAATATTGCTGAAACATCTGTTACTATTCCAAATATAAAATATGTAATTGATAGTGGAAAAGTAAAAATAAAATTTTTTGATGTGAAAAAAGGAAGTAGTGTTTTAAAAGTCACTCAAATATCTAAAGATTCAGCATTACAAAGATGTGGAAGAGCTGGAAGAGAAGGTCCTGGAAAAGTTTTTCGAATATATACAAAAGAAGAATATGAAAATATGCATCCCTTTTTAATTCCTGAAATTTTCCGTTCTGACCTTACACAAATTTATTTAGAATTAAAAGTTAAAAAGAAATTAATTTATGTTTTATATAATTTATATATATATACATATATATATATATATATATATTTTTTTTTTTTTTTTTTTATTCTCTTTAGGCAATGAATATAAAAAATCCATTAGAATTTGAATTTCCTGAAAATCCTAAAAAAGAATTTTTTGTTCATTCAGCCAAAATGCTTTATAAAATAAATGCAATTGATGTAAATAATAATTTAACAGATTTAGGTAGAAAATTATGTTTCTTCCCGTTAAATCCTATATTTGCAAATATATTATTATGTTCCATTGAATTTAATTGTATAGATGAAATTGCAACTATTGTAGCATTACTAAATTGTGACAGTATTTTTTTAAATTATAATTTTTATGATGATTTAAATATTATCAATGAAGAATTGTCAAAAAATAACTGCGAATTAACAGAAAAAGAACAAAATAATAAAAACACAATAAAAGAAAAAAAAAAAGATAAAAAAAGGAAAATTAGAAATGAAGAAGATAAAGAAGATGAAGAAAATGAAGAAGAATTAAAAATTAATGATAAAAATAAATTAATTAACATAGCAAGAAGGAAACTTATTCATCCAGATGGTGATCATTTAACATTATTGCATATTTTTTATTTATGGAAAGAAACTTCCATTAATGAAAGAAAGAATTTTTGCAGCATATATGCGTTAAATAATGAAGTATTACTACAAGTAGAAAAAATTAAAATACAGTTATTAGAAATTATGAAAAATAAAATGAATATAGATATTTCAAAAAAATTACATATGCACAAATGGGAAAATGTTTTAATATGCTTATGTAAATCATGTTTTTTTAATATAGCTAGATTAACATCAGATACAAATGTTTATATGAATTTAGTAAATAAAACTAAAATACGTGTACATCCATCTTCTACTCTTTTTAATTCTTTTGTCAAACCAACTTTTATTTTTTACTCCGATGTAATTCAAACAAAGAGATTATATGCGCGTATCGTTACAAAAATTGAAGCAGAATGGTTATTAAAATACGTATCACAAAAATTTCAATTAAAAAAAAATTAGTTATACTAATATTTTATCCACATATATATTAGTATTTTCCCAGAATTAATTAAATATAATTCATTTAAAAAGAAAAAATTTTTGTTTTCACCTTTTAAATAATTTATAAATTTTAAAAAAAAAATTTCAATAAAATTAATGTTTATCATTTGATATATACAGCATTTTTTTTTTTTATATATTTATTTCAAAAAATATAAAAAATTTATCATTACATTTTTAAAAAAAAAAGTTATTTTTTTTTAAGTATCATTATATAATATTTTTTTTTTTTACTCTTACTTTTCTAATGATTTATTTCGGTTTTTAATTAAAAAATTTTCCATTTTTATATGTGTATTATAATGAATTTTTTATTATTTTTTACATTAAAAAATTTAAGAATCTTAATAATATAAATAAATATCCCAGAAATGGAAAATTAATATATAAAGAAATAAGACATAAAAAAAAAAAAAAAAAAAATTCAAATAAATAGTAATTTAATATATGTTTTATAAGTAATATATTTCACCAACAAAATTTATCTCTTCCACTTTTTACTCTTTCGTCTAATTTTTGTTCATTTGTTAAGTTTCCTTTTATCTTTTTATCCACAATCTTATATGACCATAAACCAACCTTTTTTCTTATTTTTATAACATCATTTTTTGGTTTTTGCTCTATTATCTTTGCATATTGTAAATTTATATTATCATCTTCATTTTTTTCTTGTTTACTTTCTACTTTTTTTATAAAGTAGGTACACGTTGTACTTATATCTGTTGAAAATTCTTCATTTATAAGTAAAGTTTTATTACTTAAAATAGAAGTTACAACTCTTTTTTCTTCTTGTAAACTTGTTGGATGTTTTAAAATAATTTCATAACCAACTTTCACTTCATTTATAAATCTAGTTTCAAAACCTTGAATTGTATTTTTTATTGTTACTATTCTTCCACTACCATTAATTATATTCATTTCATCATTTATATTTTTCTTTTTAATATGTTCATTTTCGTTAGAGGTATTCTTTTTCTTTTCTTCTAATATTTCTTTTTTTTTACTGATTTTTTTCTTCTTTACTTTCAATTTTAACTTACCCCCTATAAATTTTCTATCATTTTTTTCCATTTTTAATTAAAGTAATTCAGTTTTCGATATTTAATAATTTCAAAGATTTCTTTTATAATTTTTAATACCCTTTATATTATACATCATTATACTTATGCATAACTTTATTTCTTTTTTTTTTTTTTTATTTTAAACATTCATTTATATATAAATGTTTTTTATTTTTTTTTTAAAGGAAAACTTACATATTAAAAGATATATTTTTTTTTTTTTTCTTTTAAATTAATATTACAAAAATGAAATTTTTCATTGCAATTATAATTCATAATACATTTTTATTTATTCATATTATTTATAGGATTTTATTTTTATGTACATTTTCAAATAAGTGTATTACCTTTTTTATATTAAATTATTACATATTAATAAAGATAATTTCATATTTTATATAAATTCAAAAAAAAAAAAAAAAAAAAAAAAAAACGAAACATTTAAAATAAAAAAAATATAAGTATGTTCTTCTATTAAAAAAAAAAATGAAATAAAATGAAATAAAATAAAATAAAATAAATAACTTATTTAATAAAACAAAATAGTTATTAATATGCTAATAATTTAATCAAAAATAAAAATAATTAATAGCACAGTGTGTATATTAAAAAATATACATTTTTCATGTAAATTAAAACATACAATATTTATGATAAAAGATTTAAAATACTTAAACAAAATAAATTTTTTTTTTTTTTTTTTTTTTTGAATTTTTCTGAGAACTGAAAAAAAAAAAAAAAAAATTTAAAAATACCATGTTAAAATAAACATAGATAATGCACCAATTATAATTAATAAAATTATTTGAATTTTATATTGAATTTTATAATAAGCAAAATTTTTTTGTGTGTGCATACAATGGTTATGTATTTTATATGTATATAATAAAGGACCTATTATTTCAAATAAAGAAATATAAACAAAAGTACCAGAACCAATAGATGCTAATATAGATGGTAAAAATTGAATAACTGTAGAAGAAGTGGAAGCAAAAATATTTGTTACTAATCCTAATAATATGCCTAAAGGAGTCATTAATGAAAAAAGGAACATAAACAAAATATATTTTTTTTTTTTCATATGTTTATTAATTAAATTTATACCAATAGAAAATGATGCAAAAGCTTTATGCGATATTATAGATAAATTAGTAACATATGAATTTTTTACGCTTCCTAATGTTATTCCTTCAATTATTGAATGAAAAGAAAATGCTAATAATAATATAATAGGAGCTTTATTAAAATTATATTGTATAGAATCATCCGATTCATATTCTTCTATAATATCATCACTAAATGTTTGTATAAAGTATATATTACTATCTTCCATATCTTCTTCACAACAACTTTGTAAATCCCTAGTTACTTCTTGTTTTTCATCATTCTGTTTTTTTTTTTCATTCAATTTAGATATTAACATATTTTTATTACGATTTAATGAAACGTTTTTATATTTAGAATTAATTTCAAAAGAATCCTGTACTTTAATTTTTTTACAGATATTTTTTTTTTCCATGTATCTTATATTCATATTTCCTAATTTTGCAGATTTATTTGTACATATTTTTTCTATTACATTTTGATCCTTCTTAGATGAATTAATGTTCTTCAAATTAATGAAATACATTTGATTATCTTCAATTTTATTGTTTCTAATTATATTTAAAATATTTATGTAATCAAATTTATTTGCATAAAAAAATATATTATAGCATTCATTACAACAGTTATCTTCATTCGGCTTTTCAGTATGTCTATTCTTTCTTTTCTGTATTAAATAATCACTTATTTGCTCTACGATAATGATTAAAAAAATTCCCAAAACAGCAAACATTTCACATAATGGATAATTGAAATGTAAATTCTGTTGTTTTTTAACTTTATTTAAGTCTTCTCTTGCTTCAGGTAACAAGTGAACTAAACCTCCCCCTAACAAAATACCCCCACTATAACCTAAAACTAAAATGTATATATATATATATATATATTTATAATATTAAGATAATGAAATAATAAAAATAACATCTTATAATAAATATGTGAAAAAAATAAATTTATAATTTGTCATAATAGTAACATTTATTTTAATTAGAAAAAATGTGAGTTTTTTATTTTATAGCTTCAATCATATATGTTAAAATATTGTTTATTTTTTTTTTTTCTTTTTTTTGCTATACCTAAATTAAAAAGTTTACATTCAGAATAAGATTCAATACATAGTGGAACAACTGCACCAAATATAGTCACAAAAAAGATACTAAAAAAAGCAAAAATTTTATCAATATATGGTATCATTTTTTTCATTAAACATTTTTAAATAAATCATTTTTTTCCATTCCAGTATTTTTAAAAGTAAAAGAATAAAAAAACAAGAAATAATTTAAATTACGTAAACAAAAAAAAAAAGATTTTTTAGGAAAAATAAAAAATATGTGTAAAATAATGTAAGAAAAAAAAAAAAAAAAAAAAAAAAAAAAAAAAAAAAAGTTAATATTTAAAAAAAATGCTTGAAAATAAATAAGAGAAACAATACAATAGTACTAAAAAAAAAAAAAAAAAGGATATAAAATATGAACTACAAAAAAAAGGATATAATAAATTTATGAATATAAAAAAAAAAAAAAAAAATTAAAATAATATTTTAAGTGTTAGATTAAAAAAAAAAAATTAAATGGCTATAACACTACGGCATCTTTATTTATACTAGTTTTTTTTTTTTCTTTCTTTTTAATTTCTACTATCAAATTTTCTTTTTATTTAAATCTACTATTTGTATTGCTCTTTTAGGATAATTTTTATATTTTATTCTTATTTTTTGTTAATAAAAAATGGTAACTATAAAGTGTATAAGTTATATTTAAAAAAATGATTTAATTAGGAACACAAGATGTCAAACAAACTTAAGGATTTTAAAAAATATTAGGATACTATATATATACATACTATAAAAAAAAAAAATTTTTCAAATAAAATCAACAATTTACACATTAAAAAAAAAATATATATATACTTATAAAAAAATATATATATTAAATAAAAAATTTTCAAATTTTACTTACAAAAAAAAAAAAAAAAAAGAAAATACATATCTATATATAACAACAGAATCAAGAAAAAATAAAATTATATACCTCACAGATAAAAATAAGTATATATAAAAATTAATAAATATATATGAAAATGATTTTATAATAATTTTTTACTATTATTGTCTATAAAATTAGTAAGCATTTATTCATTTTTAAAAATTTCATAAAATTTATATAAAAATCAATAAAATTATATAAACATAAAAAAAAAATAAATATATAAATTTTTCATACAACCCTTTTTTTTTTACTTTTATAACATAAAAAAAAAAATATACATATATATATAAAATTTAAATAGAAATATTATAAATAAATTAATAAAAAGTATAATTTAAAAAAAGAAAATATTTTGGATGTATAGAGATATACATCATCATACATATACTGATAAAAAAATAAAATAAAATTTTTATAAAAATCTATTAAAGAAAATTATAAATATTAAAATGAAAACCAAATTTTTTTGATTAAGTAAAAAAAAAAAAAAATAAGTGTATATTAAAATTACTTCTAACATGTTAAATGAATTTTATTTGGGTAAAGTTTATCAAAATTTTCTAATGACATATTTATATATTGCTTTACTTCATCAAAATTTTTTTGTCTTACTTCTAAAGGTACTAATATTTTTCTTTCTTCTACAGTATAATGTAACAATTCTTCTTTTGTAAAATTAAAACAGTTAGTATTATAAGGTAGAGAGAAATTATTATCTGAACTAATTTGTTTATTAAAAATTGTAAAAACTTTCAAATTTCTAATATCATCAAAGTAATTATGCAGAAGTGCATTACATAATTTGATTCTCTTCTTGGGATTAAATTGTAGCAATTTACTTAACAAATCAATACTGTCTTTAGAGCAGTTATGATTTATTAATTTTTTTAAAGTTATTGGTTTTATATTTGGGAATTTAACATTTTTATAAACACTTTTAAATGATAAAAAATCTTCATCGTTAGGTGTTCCTAATATTTTTATAATTTCCACTAATTGATCTGATGCACAATCTCCTAAAAATAAGGGTTTCCCTAATATTAACTCTCCCATAACACATCCTTTTGAAAAAAAAAAAAAAAAAAAAAAAAAAATAAGTTAATTACTAAAAAAATGTAGTCATATAAGTATAATATAAAAAACAAAATAATTATAAAACAAACATATAATGCCAATATATAAATGGATTAAAAATATTTTTCATTATTTTCATTTTACTTATATATATATAAATATATTAATATATAAATATATTAATGAAAATATATATACATATATGAATTTTTTTTATAATCATACCAATTGACCATGTATCAATTTCTTGACTATAATAATTAGACCCAAATAATAATTCTGGGGCTCTATAATATCTTGAACATACATAACTAAAGTATTTATAATTTTCTTTTAATTTTATAGATGTATTAAAATCACACAACTTTATATATTTGTACATTATACTACTCATATACGTTTTACTTGAGTTATTTTGCTCATATATATCTATATCACTTAAATTTTGATTTCTTATTTCTTTTTTTTTTTTTTTTCCTATATTATTTTCATTATTAATAGAATAATTATTTATATCATTAAAATCATTTCCCACTTTTTCAATATTTGAATTGTTATTTATTCTTGATACTGATATATCTGTTTTACTCCGTTTTAAAATTCTTTTTAAATCTTTATTTGTTGCATATATATAATTATCATTTACATTTGTCCACTTAGTAGATTTTCCTTCATTTAAATTTATCATACTATTTGATTTTCTTATTCTTTCAAAAGATTTATTCAAATTATTTATTTTATTTTTTAAAATACCATTGTTTGGTTTATTTTTCAATTGTATGCATCTGCTATTATTGCTACGGTACTTTTTCTCCTTTATAGTCTTATTATTATTATCAGTATTATTTCCTTTATCATCAAAAAAAGAAATGCTTTTATATTTTTCTAAAAAAATTTTTTTTCTTTCATTTTCCTTTTTACAACTTACAGAAAAAATAGAATCATCATCTTTTTTATCATTCCTTTGAATATTTTCCTGTAGTTTTATTTTTTTTGATTTTATAGTTCTTCCTAAATCATCAATTCTTATTCTATTTTTATTATTTTCTTCGTTTGAATATGTATAATCGCTTCTTATAGATTTATCACAATCTTCTTCAAATACATTTTTTAAATCGACATTTTCATTTTTTTTTTTATTAACATTTTCTATATTCATACTTATTCCCATTCGATTTTCTTTATCATTTATAATTTTTTCTTCACTTTTTATATTTTCACAAATATCCTTATTTATGTTTATATCAATGCTAACATTTTTATTAATTTTTTTATTTTTTATATCATTTCTTGAACTTTTTTCTTCGATTTTGTTATTGATAATATATTTGTGTTCTAATGAATTTTGCACACAAACAACGCATTTTCCATTATCACAATTTTTATTAGAAATATTATTATTTGAATTGTTTAGAAAAATGAGAATATTCTGTGGTTTTATATCTCTATGTGTAATACAAAGACTATGTAAATATAATGTTGCTCTAATTAATTGATATAAATATATTTTGATTTGATTCTGATTAAGAAAATTTTTTTTAATATACTCACTTAAATTATGACATGAGCATATATTATTTATATTTTCATTTAGAACATTTGCATGAAAAGTATTCATTAAATTATTACAGTTGCTCACATTTTTATTATTATCATTATATGAGCTAATAATTTTTTCTTTATTTTGATGATCAATTTCATTTACATTATTAAAATTATTCGAATTTTTGTTTTTTGCATTTTTCAATTCTATTTTTGTGTCATCATTATTAAAATTACACTTTTCATTAATAATGGTATAAAATTTATCATCTTCATTTTTATGTGTATTATTGACTTTGTAGTCAATATTATTATTGTTATTACTATCATTAGTAATATGATTATTATTCTTATTATTATTATCACTAATGTTATCATTAGTATTATTATTATCATTGATGTTATTATTAATGTCACTGTTAGGTTTAATATTATTTTTATCATTGATGTTGTTATTATTAATATGAATAGTAGACGTTGTGGTAGTATTAATAATATTATTAGTATTAATAGAGTTATTTTTAATACTATTATTCTTAGTAGTTTTATTTGAATGTTTAATAATTTCATTAGTATCTTTTATGGTGATATAATATAATGATGTTGCTAAATCTATATTACCATATTCCATTACCATGTGCACATATACACCATTAGAAGTAGTAGTATAAAATGCGTGCTTTAATTTAACAATATTAGGATGTTTTAATTTTTTCATAATTTCAATTTCTTTAAAAATTCTTGCATTTTTTTGATATGTTTGTTTTAATGCAACTATACTACAATTATCTAAACAATCAGCCTTATATACTACACCATATACCCCATTTCCGATAATATGAAGAATTTTATAACTTATTTTTTTGCTATTATATTTTAACTTTTCATCATCAAAATAAATATTTACATAGTCTTTAATTATTTCATTCTTTTTATATATTTTTATTAAATCCATTCTTGTATTTTCACAAAATTGAAGAATAAAAAGAAGAAAGAATTTAGGAAAAAAAAAAAAAAAAAAAAAAAAAAAAAAAAAAAAATAAATTTTA